GGGGGGGGCAAAAGTGAGTCGGATGTTTCCTTCCGAAACTTTCTAACGTCGTTCAGAAACTCGTAAAGATCGTGTGCGCGTTTTCCTCGCCGCACTTGCGAATTCCGAGGGAGAACACAATGAATGTGCGTGATTTTCGGGTGATTCGAAAAAGAGCGAGAGGTCGATCGGAGAATCGCTTTACATTTTATCGATGCCCCGAGGGTTAATCGCGTGTTAAGCGTTTCCCACGGGCTAATCGCCTGTGTGCGAAAAGCGTGGGTGATAAACGAGCGCGGCGTGGAAAAGTTACGGGCATAATTGCGCGATGGGAACGCTCCGTGGTCACGTGCGCCACTTTTATTTATGAGATACGGAAGAGAATGGATGCGTGTGCGAGGCCCGTGTATCTCATTACTAATGCGAAATATTCGACGGCGGTGCAACGCTAAAATTGAAAGCGCAAAACGATTAAGCGCGATACCGGGTAACACTGTGTTCCATTTGAGGTTCCATTTGACTTCATATTTTCCGATATACACACGAGCTAAATATTGCATTGTAACTTAATAAATTGCATTACGCATCCGAGTTGGTCGTTAATGCAAACACACGCGAGTGACTAAAACAAACGAATAATAAATGTGTGTTTGTGCAGAATTGTATCAGCGTGCCCGCTGATTACAAAAGTAATGAATTTATATTCAGTTTAATTAACAGTATATTGTATCAATTTAATTCTTGTCAATTATTTTATGCAAATTCCAAATCAAATCAGCGGAACGCAAATGAAATGTGCATTTATTTTAGCGCGTTAGGAAAAAAGGAGTTCCGCGGTCTTCGCGAAACGGCAGCGTGTTGCGAGAGAAATAGTGATGCAATGATGCGTAATGGATGTAGTACGCGACACAAAGAAAATTTCTTTAGCCGATTTAACAACGGGTCGAGGATTAATACGACACGCCGCTCTAAGTATTCGTCGAGCTTTTAAGGATTCTTGGATGCGCGACCTATCCGTGAGATACGGCAGAGTCGCAGTCAAATTAATGAGATTAAATGAACGTGGAAATATTTCGTAAACAATTCCTCGCGCAAACAGCATTTAACTGTCGCCTGTTTATTCCATATTTCACACACGTCGCATCCTGTTGCCGTATAATTCTGTCCCGATAGAGGAGAAAATTCATTCAATTGGAGATAAACTCGAGAGTGCGAAGTTAATTATCTATATTCTCCGATGAAAACAGTTTCCTCAATAAAATTGTCTTTTATATTGAAATCGCGATTTCAATGGAAAATTTTTTATCTGCAAAGCACCGCATTAAATCCCCGTCAATTTATCTCGGCAAATCGAATCCCTGTTTAGCGAGGGAAAATCAAATTGATTTCATTTCGCACTTCAAGAGCGGCCAGTCAACAGCCCTCGAATTGGAGCTTGCGGAATCGACGCAAATTCACCGTCGCAATGCCTCATGCATTTCAATGGGCGGCATTTTGAGAGTGGATTCGTTCTTGCGGCACGAGGCAGCACAAATTAGCCCCGTACTCAAAAACTATAAACGTATATAATTAACGCCGAAGCGTAGTTAACGAGCGTGCCTTTAAACATGTCGCGTTGCCGCTATGTGCGCGGATTTCAGAATTGGCCAATTAACGACGAGTGTGTACCGCAAAAATCAATAACCTTGCGTACCAAATGTGATCGTAAACTGTACTTTTGCCTCTATCGCCGTTATAGGTACATTCTATTTATCTTAACATTAAATTTGCTGTGCAGTTACAATTGAAGATATAGTATCTTTTATAAGTATTAATAAGATATACTGTTTTCTCATTACAATACTAATATATCCGAAAATAGAAATTCTGGATGTTTGATTAAATTATCGCGAGAAGCTTGCGGTTTAACGAAAATCGATAGGTTTATAACGTTTGCGAATCCATGATAAGTATATTTACATTTAAATTTCATTTTTAGCAAATTAAAATCTCAAGAATTTGTAGGTGGAGACCAAGCTCCTGAAATTCTTACAAAATGAAGGAAATCGTCCTATTATTCGATTTTTCTTTTATTTACAATACTTATAAGCCGCGCGTGACTTCAAGACTCACATATAATGAAGTCTTCGTTCGAAGACAATTAAAAGAATCATTATGATATAACAGGTAGAAATAGTTAAATTAATAGTGCCTTTTTAATGCTGATGTTTCAATGTAATTTGGTATTAACTTATAATGCATTTCTCATCTCGCGTCATGATATATCGCTGTATTTTATCGTGATCAATGATCTCTGATACGAATCGTTCCCACATTGCAATTCGCAAACAAATTTTGTTTTATATATACCTAATCATAGCGACGGAATTAATTAACAGAGCTTCATTTGCGACGCGAATGGAACAATTTAAATTACTAACGCGAGCGAGTAAAAAAAAAAGCCAACTAGTCGAAAATGCGCTGAACGACACGCGACAGGCCGGAAACCGCATGTTATTCTACTTCTCAACAGTTGCGTTTAATTTACCGGACGGTAAATAATTTAATACACAATAACAAACTATTTGCCCCGTTTTCGTTTCCGCTCGACTATAATTCGCGAATGTCACTTCCGATTTTCGCGCGAATGGAATTATAAATGACGCCTGTCGTGCATTACATGACATGACATGAGTCGCGGTTGAGATTCAAGAGATCAACATTTGAGAAGTCACGAGTGAACTTCGAGAGAATTCTCTCGTGTGGATATATATATATATATATATATATAATAACATATGTGCCGTTTAAACTACAGTCGATCGCCTCAAGTGATTAACACTTTATTTTTAACCCTTTAACACACCGTCAACGGAACTGGCGGCGCGTGGCCGTTCTTACGTGAAAATCGAGGACAACGAGTCCGTGCGGCGCTCGGCGCAATCGCTTTAATTGATGCAGACGAAACGGCGACCGATTAAAGATGAGAATTACGACCGTGATAGCGCCTAACTGGTGAACTGGATCAGTCGAAATCAATTAAGCAGTTATAACGAGTCGCGAGGAGCCGTGACTATCTTCGAGATGCAGCTAGAGTAATCCACGTACGTGGAGCGGCGTTCGTCAGACTTAAGATCCGTCTCGTTTAACTTCGGATAATGGGATACGAAACTTTACAAAGTGTTCCCGATATCGGTATCGATGGATCTGTGTGTTCCTTCAAGGAAAGTTTATTAATTACAAGTAGCGTAGAGTAGAATAAATTTTGGCGATTTTCTCCTTCGGCGATGATTGATAGCTTTTCAGCTATCAGGCATTATGAGAAGAATGTGAGGGTGTGCGCGAATAACTGATTACTTCCGAGTGACTCCCATATTTTGAGATATTATGTCATTGCGTTCTCGGTCAATGCGCGTGTGTGTGTGTGCCCGCGAGATGCGTATCGCGGCATTATGCAATTGAATTCGATAATATCAGTTGGTACGTTCTAACGTGTTCAATGTTCATATTTGGTCCTCAATCAATAATCTTGTAACGTTCGTAATTTTCTTTTCTTCGCTCCTCTTGTAACGTTCGTAATTTTCTTTTCTTCGCTCGGACGAAGAATATTCATTCCCCGAAACTCGACATACCCGTGTTGCATTATTACCGCGGACAATATTTATTGCTGTTATTATGAATATAAAACTTGTCAGTACACGACATCAGTATCTGTATGTGCAACAGTAAAACCTTTTTTATATTTTTTTATATTTGCAGTTCACAAGCTTCGCGAGTTCGTACGGCAAATATATCATATTTGATCGTAACAGAAATATAACGGCACTGTCTTTGACTTAATTTCTCATTTGATTAGAAAGAAGACAGGAAAAAGATTTGCGTGGAAGAACGATTTTTAAAGAAAGCGAGATTTCGGTTATTTTCTACGGTGTGATAAACGTGCTCGGTACTTTCTTATTCATTACTCCCATTTCACTTATTGTTCGTTGAGTTAAAAAGAAAACGCGAGTACTTGAAAGGATTAAACTTTCAAGAGAATATTATCACCGTCCATTGTGTGTGAATCTAACAGATGTTAGGAACGTGTAGGTATACTAAAGAGAAGACAAAAAAGATAGGAGAGTATCATTAAATTATCAAATAATGTTCTCGACGATTGACGACTAAACTTTCGCGTGGAGAGAATAAATTTGCCGTTATCTGGTCAATTATATTACAGAATGTTGATGCGAAGATGATTCGCGTATCGCGAGAATAGAACGAGTAAAATTATGCGAGTCGAATGGCGAAGTTTCGTAGGGCGGGCAAAATCCCTACGGCATCCTCGTAAATCCGACGCGGTTGTTATCCCCCGCGAACATCTCTGGTGGTTTATTTCACTTACTAGGAGCGGATCCGAACGTCGTCCTGTCGCTGAAGACGGAAGCAACGGCTCCGCATTATCGTCTCTCTTCGTGCGCCTCCTATCTCTTTCCCGTCTCCCGGCTCTCCGTCTCACCCTCGCGCTCTCTCTCCTCCACGACGAGACTTCGCCTCGGCGCGAGTCGCAGTTTAGCCCGCACCGCGCTCTGTATCCTCGTTATCTTTTCTCAGCACGCCGCTTCCCTATCCCCCTTTCTTTATCCCCCTCGCTCGTTTCGCGCGGAATCCGCACTCTACACCCGCGGGGCACAACACACGGTACCCATGACGACGCGTTCTCTCGCTCCAGCACTTGCTTCAGTACGTAGCAAATTCCGCGCTACTCACTCCACCCCCGCGAACGACCGCGGTCGAGTCCAGGCCGAGCAGTATTAATTAAATTAAGACACGCGCTCCGCGTGCGAGGAGCCACGCGGTGTGCTCCGCTTTTGCTCCGATTTGGCGCCAACGTGAGCGCGAACGGCGGAAGAAAAAGGATCGCCCTCCCACGACAACGCTCGGCGCGTTACTGCTGTACCGCTCGCTCCGTCCGTCCGCGCGGAGGTGCACAGGCGGCGGCGCACGCTTTTGATGCCTTTGAGACGACCGGTGCCGCGCGCATGCGCCGTCGCCGGTAAAAGGCGAAAACGCGATCGGCGTTGGCACGGGACGCGCGCGATCGCGAACCTGACGACCGACCGGAGGGATTTGGTCGGAGAGAGAAATGATGTGCCCCCCAACGGTGAACGGTATTTAAACTCGTTCGTCCCGCGCAAGTTGTGTGCGAATAGCGTTATGCTTAATTCCGGCTTCCATCGCGAATGATACATGATGGAAAACGTCCGGTAGAACGCGACGTTTCAAGACGCGCACGTCGCGTCTCTTTTTGAAATATATCTTTACCCGCTTGTCGTCGCCAACACTTGCGACGAGAATAATCAATCAACAGTGATTAATATTCGCGAAATGGATGTAAATGAGTTCGAACATTTCAGATAAAATTCTACGTGCGAGCAAAAAAGCTATCCAATTTAAGACAATTTTATTAATGCGTCTTTCGAAACATAAGTGTTATGCAGTTTTTTATTTTTCCTTTTCGCATAATTTATAATAAATGAACATTGTTCACGCTATGAGAACTGCGTTGGCTCTATAGGGAATTTAATTGCTATTTTTTATTTATTATCTCGAATTCTAATATTCTTATTTTATTTATAATTTTATACATGTAATATAATAACGTAATATTTTTCGTAAGATTTTCAAACAAGTTTCGTCAATATTTGCGAGAGCAGTGAATCGATAGGGATTAATATTCGCGAAAGGGATGTAAACGTGTTCAAACATTTTAGATGAAGTTTCATGTGCAAACAAAGAAGTTATCCAGTTTATGACAATTTTATTAATGCGTCTTTCGAAACATAGTTTTATGCACATACAATAATATAATATGGAATTGTAATAATATAATAATGTCATTTTTTTTTTTAAGATTTTCTACAATAATAAAGAACCGTATGTCGCCAACACTTGCGAGAGCAGTGAATTTATGGCGATTAATATTCGCGGAAGGAAAATGTAAATGTTCAAATATTTCAGAGAAAATTTTATCTGCAAGCAAAAAAGTTAAAAGTCTAGTTTATGGTAGTTTTATTAATGCGTCTTTCGAAACGTAACTTTATGCATATAATATAACATAGAAGTATAATAATATAGTAACGTAATATTTTTCACAAGACTTTTAAACGAAAAACTGTTATATGTCGCCAACACTTGCGAGAGCAATAAATCGATTAATATCCGCGAAAGGAATGGTAAATGTTCTCAAACATTTCAGAGAAAATGTTATGTGCAAGCAAAGAAGCTATTCAATTTATGGCAATTTTATTAATGGCATCTATTTGAGTTCTTCGGAATATAAATTCATGCATATCATATAATAGAAAAAAATATACACGGAAAGAACAATTTTGCTGAATCCAGATCTGAAAATAATTTTTGTTCAATAATCAAAATAATTTTGTGCGAATGTCAAAGTAATTGCTAGAATATCGAAACGTTTTATAGCAATGCTTATCAGTTTTAACATTCCAACAAATTTTTTTCAGATGTTTTTAGCATTTTTCAACAAAAATTTTTAAATCTTTCAACAAAATCGTTCTTTTCGTATAGTAAAATAATAAGAACGTAAGTAGTTTTCGTAAAGAACTTTCAAACAAGCGCTGGCACAGCACGTGAGGGAAATAGCTTTTCCTGAAAATTTTATTTACGCGCTTACAACCTTTTTATTGCAAGTTTACAAATAATGATGGTAGGTAAACATTGCGGTCGCGGAGCCATGATTCTTTCACGACTTGTCGGAGATGACAAGATCGATGTGAGCGGGGAGGGAGAGGAGAAGGGGAGGAGGAGATGTTACTGGTTGTACGCGTATTACGTATTCGCGTACACCGATCTGTGTGTGGCGGAGCGGAATGAAACTCTTGTTGTAAAAGGCGGAAATCCAGAGGATGATAATGCCGCGAATACACCCGCGCCATACCCATTGTTCGCCGGCAGATTTTCCTGAATAACTGCCATTAAATGTGCCAACGATTACAATCGATTACGTTCGAGTGCGGAGATAACGAAAAATATCTAGCACCGAATAGCGAAGAGCCGTCATATAATTTGCACTCTTAAACGCAGTATTATCCGAATGTGTATTCAATCAGTTATATTTAAATAACAGCTGAAAAGCACACGAAGAAATGTAGACAGTCGTTCTCGTTAGTATACACGCGTATATCGTTAATAATAACTATTTATTTCTGTATAACTATTTATTTTTAATATTTTTAATTTAAACACTGCCGTGGAATATGATCGATGCTGCGCAAACACGTGTTTCGTAGCTCGTATATTTTTTCTATTGATTGACTCTCACTCTGTCGAGATCGCAAAAATTGACACAAGAATCGTCCACTACTCGTAATTTCAAAGAGCCATGACGAAATGGAGGCTCATATATTACACAGTATTTTTCCGCGGGCGCAGATGGTAATTATCTGCGAGTAGATATATATACATATATATACGCGCGTAGATACCGCGAAAAAAAAAAATACAAAAGCTGTCGGCGTGACGTACACCGTTATGTCCTCTCATTACTAGCTTCGCCTTCGAAAATTGGTACGTACGGACTCCGGAAACCGCGAGCGAAACGGCGATGACCGTTCTTATGGTTGTTTCGCGTGCACAAAAGTCATGAATTATATACGTTTAATCTTGTCCATTAAATAAATGACTTTAATGAAAAATTGTTCGCTTCGTATCGGGAACGTGATTATTAAATAAGAGCGAAACTGCAAAATGGCAGCGAAAAAAACTTCAGCGTGCCCTGAATTTTTCGGTCAAATTGACGCAGCTTGGCAGAAGCCAAAAAGAGTGTCACAAAATGATAAAATTGGATTAATTTACGATTTAAACGATTAATTTGTTGACTCAGCTAATGATGTAATTCAAATTTTTATTTTATTAAGTGCGCGACAATCTAAAGGTTGAAATCTATTTAGAGAGAGGAGAGGTTTTTTTTCTGAATTCGTGCCGCCGAATCGCTGCTCCAGCTTGTGCTTTCAATTTTCCACGGAATTCCGCGCGTCAAGCGCGTTTCACGCGACGGCGATATGCAAGGCCATTGTGATTTTTATTTTTCTGCGTAAATCACATCCCTGACGTCCATGTGTGACGGCAAGAGAATGCACTTTTCTTCCGCGTGTCTGTGATGTACACATTCTTTATCGTACGTGCGCGCGATAAAGCGTGAAAATTCGCCGCACATTTGCAACAATACATGACTTCCTGGTTACGAGCCGCGAGCCTGAAAATCACGTTTGCCCGTAGTTTGACTCATGGTGATAACGAGTGCCGCTTTCTTTTTCCATCTCGCGCTTCAAACTGTCAAGAATAGTTTTCGCTGATTACGCTACCTTTCTAATGTTGCGCAAAAATTCTTTAATTTATTATTGTCCGTATTGTCATTGTTGTTCCAATTCTAATTAGCTACATTCTTTGTGTTATTTTACTTTTAGTATCACAAAAATTAGATTATAATTGATTTTTTATTACTCCGTGTGCGCTTTAAATTATTACTATTATTTTTATTACTATCAAAATATAATGATAAATTAAAGTATTACTATTAATGTGATCACAATAATCGATTATTTTTTTAAGTAGTCCAGTTCTAATATTTAAGCAACCTAACCTTATTATATGTATCGACATTTCTTATCATGAATTATTGAGAAGCCTGGCGCGGACGCAGAAATTTACGAGCGACCTTTGCCCTTCAGATATCATTATTATTACACTACTAAAACTTCCCTCTTAAGGTTATTGCGTTGGCGAAAAGTTTAATGATACTCTTCCGCATGAAATTCAGTTTTGCGACTAAACTTCTCGTTATACTCGTTATACAAGATGTTCCGAAACCATCAGATATCCTATTAACAATATATAATTAGCGACCTTTTCAACTCGTGAGGGTTGAGAACATCGTTTAAAGGAAAACATTAAAATATTTATCGTATGTTAAAATAGACTTAAAATAAGCGATGTCTGTTACTTCACGTCTTATTGTTATATTTAGCTAAGGGTTACGTGAGCTCTATTTACTAACTTTCTACGGACAAAACCGGTAGTAATAATGCAAGCGACGTCAGTGAGCATGAGAAATGTAACTTGACCGATTACAGCCTCGGCGCGCAAATCACATTTTTTGTATAGTTTCGTTTAAAAGATTGCTGCAATCATGAGGCAATAGTAAAACGAGAGTTGGCCTCTGTTTTACGGGTAAGCTCGAAAAAAACGAGGCATTGCACGAAATCATAGAATGACCAATTTTGCTAAAGTGCCTAAAACTTTAGCTAACTACAGCTCTGAAAATAATTTTGTTGGACCATCAAAATAATTATGTAGGAAAGCATAATGAGCAGTGCTGCAAAAAGTTTTGATATCCTAGCAACCGTCTGGAACGTTTTTACATAATTATTTTGACAGTTCAGCAAAAATTATTTTTAGATCTGTGTCTAGCTAAATTTTTAGATGCTTCAGCAAAACCATTCTTTTCGCTATCCGCTAATTTTCCGCTGTAATCGTTAATTTTACATTGTAAAAATGGGAGTATATAATCGTTCGCTTGTCGATTCTCGTAAATTCGCAAATTCAACTTGTACATCATGCAAAATGAATTGTGAAGCGAATAGTTTGACGAGCATCGAGTGAATTGTTAGTTCATTATGCAATCTCGCTACCTTGATTTATGTAGGCAAAATCGATAACTCATATGTGAGTCAGTGCTTACACTCCGCAGGTGTTCATTTAGGGGACTCCTCAAATTAATCAAGAGAACGGATGACAGATGTCTGCGCATTACGTAATGTAAATTATCTTTTATGCCACTTCTTTAATTACTTCCTTCAAACAGAACTCGATAAAACGAGAGTGTAGTTTTTAACATTAAAGAATTTTATGAAATAAAATTCTTTGATTTGAAACAGATAATTTTCCACTTCGCGTTACTTCCTTAAAATCTGAGCTCTAAAACTGAGCTTGGCAAA